ATGTTAGTCGGGGCTAAGGCTAAGCTGCTTTCACTCTATGTAGTTTATAAGGTCAAAAACCTTCACTTTAGATCACCATTCACCCTCGAGTGAAAAATAAACCAAATATCAATAAATAATGTCGTTTTAACCTTGCGAGAATAAATCTTCACATATCATCATCATTACAGCCCTTCACAAGTCCACTGCTGAACATAGGCCTCCCCCAAGTAATGCCACAAAGCACGGTCCTGAGCCACCTGCATCCATCGACTTCCTGCATATCTTACCAGGTCGTCACTCCATCTAGTGGGGGGTCGCTCTACACTACGTCTACCGGTACGAGGCTGTACTGAACTGTTAGACAAAAAAAAAACTGCGGTTGCCAACCCGCTCTAATACCATATAGATATAATACCAACGTAAAATAGCTGCTTAATACTACTGTGTTTCGTATGATGAGTGTAGAAAACCGCTGGTCTCTTTTACTGGAAACAAGAAATTCCATCTTTGTCCTCATGGGTGAATACAATAGTTAGAAGATTAGAATGTCGTATCTGAAATTATTGATAAAGCCATAGAATACTATAATACATACACTATAGAACTCCCCCGAGTGGGTGGTGCCCGTGTAGCCACTAACATGTCAATTCACACCACCAATTTTTGTGTCAAGCGTTGCTGGGTGCAATTTATTTCAAAAACGACAAATTGTGTGATAATTAAGTGTCGGGAAAACAGCCGAATGTGGAATTTGAAACAAATACGATGGAAATTAGTAATTTAATGATCTACAAATAAATTGTTACAACATTTTTTTTATTAAATTGTTGTTTTGTTCCCTATTTTTAAGGGTATCCACCATTGAAAATTTTCAATAAAGTTTTTAGATTTAATCTTCTGGTTACGTATCATTACTACAAACTGTATGTTCACTTCAGACTCAATCGCCCAAAAAAGGTTGGGTAGACCAATTATGTATTAAAAGTAAAAAATTTCTTTCTTCTTTTTTGTAGTTTCATACTTTTTCTTCAAATTTTGCTCTTGCCTGGTGTATTGGTACTTTTTTAGGTAAAATAAGATATATTTTATTTACCTAAACCATTTTGCAATTTTCTTGGAGATCCTAAATAAGAATACAAATCCTAAAGGATCCTAAAGTAAAACATAAAAACTATGGATAGAAACCACGAAAGGTTTGACTAATAACTTTTTCACTTATATACACTTATATATAGTGACTTCTTATCCATACATCACAAAAAATATTTGAAGAACAATACAAATCCACGTAAAGAAATTGTATTGCATAGCATTAGCGCCGGTATGGAAAGGATTAAGGGACAGGATTTGACAGCACTGACGAAGAAGTTATAAGCTTGAAACGTCATAATATTTGGTACTACCACGTTGGTATAACTTTATCAGCAATTAATTAAAATATCCACAGTTAACGTCCCCGTGGAAGTCGCCCATATAGCGTTCTCTACAGTAAGCCTTTTTAATGTTTCATGTTTTGAATATCACACATGTAAAAAATCGGTTGAGTGGCTTAGCATTTCCTTTCATAGGTTTTTTTCCTCTAATCCGCGGTTCAACGGCCAACAATGACCAAATTTTTAAAGCCTAATTTGCTGTGATGTTTTTTATAGGTGAGGGGGGCAAACGAGCATACGGTTCACCTGATGTTAAATGACTATCGCCGCTCATGAACAACTGCAACACTAGCGGAGTCGCAGGTGCGTTTCCGGCCTTTTAGAAAGGAGTAAGCTCTTTTCTTGAAGGTCCCTAGGTCGTATCGGTCCGGGAAAATCACCAATTGTAAACTATTCCACAGAGAGGTTGCGGAAGAAAACTCGTAGGGAAACGTACAGTGGTGGACCGCCAAGCATCCAGATGGTGAGGATGGCATCGGGAGGTTTGCCACGTAGTGCGTTTATGAAATCAAAGAAAATGTAAAGTGGTGCAACATCTCTTCACAGAGCCAGTGAATCGAGCCGATCGGAAAGCACTCGGTCGTCGGTCGTTGCTCGAGCCGCTCTGCGCTGGATGCGGTCAAGTGGAAGGAGCTGGCACTGGGTAGCCCCAGCCCGGAGATGGGAATAGTATTCCATGTGTGGCTGAATCTGCGCCTTGTAAAGTTGCAGGCGGTGTGCCGGCATGAAACACAGTCCAGCTCTGCTGAGCACGCCAAGCTTTTTAGAGGTCAATTTGGCCTTCTCTTCCCAGTGACCACGAAACTGCATGTCACTCGATATGTCAACACCGAGAATTCCGGTGGTTCTGGCTGAGGCAACAAGGGAATTCCCTGTTCTTTTTAGCGTGAAACGCGCAAATTTGTGTCTTATGAGGGTTAAATTGGACTAGATTTAGTTGCCACCAATCCGAGACTTTCATCAGCAAAGACTCGACTTCAGACATAAGTTTGTCCGAGTACTCAAGACGTTTTCAGGGCCAGTGAGTCGTCCTCCCTGTGCAGAGATGAAAGAGATGGCTAACAGAAATTTCCTTGGATAGTCTTGCCGAGAAACCAGGACGCGCGGGTTCCAGAATGAAGGCGAACTAGTTTCTCGCCAATTCTGCCTATGTGCTCTGACTTTACCTTGGCAATAACTCTTTTGAAGGACCTGGAGGCGGAATCATTTTTCTTTTTCAGGATGCTGGTGCTTACATCCCGGGACTAAACCATGGCTGAAATCTGACTGCGATGGGCACCACAGAGAAAAGAATAAAAAGTTCCTTGCCTTGAAGTACCACATCAGCGACAGAATCAGCAACAACGTTGGGATCGTTCGGTGAAAAGCAAACCTAACCCCAAGGGTAGGATGCAAAGAAAGACCGCATCCTATCCCAATCAGCTGACCTATAGTGTCAAACATGGCGGCATCCTGCAGAATGCAACCGCAATTTTAGCGTGAGTGGCACCACACTCCGGAAAATGATTCGAGGAGCTAAGAGGGGCCTCGAGGGAGACCTGATATCTGTCCGGATGGGAGGTTAGCAGAAAGTCCAACAGGGAAGGTGTGTGAACTTCTACATCTGGAATCCGCGTAGGCAAAGTAACCAGTTGTGTCAGATCATATACCAAGGCAAAATCATAAACAGATCTCCCCGCATGATCGATTAAACGTGAAACAAGCCATTCGGCGTGGTGAGCGTTAAAATCGCCGTTACTGTAGCAACGAATCTGTATCCATTTGGACGTGATTGAAGAGTCGGTCTGTTTCGGCATTACCGCTATGGGACCCATAGAGGCACCCGTAGACGCGCGGATTGTCGTCGCTGTCTACGCGTAGCCAAAGGACAGACAGGTCCGAACCTCCAAAACCGCTGAGGCGTCGATAATAGATGTCCTCTTTGATATATGTACGCAAACTCCAGCCCGAGGCACAAAGGAGTGTCTCGGGCTAAAGGAAGAAGCTTAGGAAAAAATAGGGTGTAACAGGTGAACGAAATAAGCCGAATAAGCCTATGTAACTTTTTTTTCTACATTAACATATAAGTATTATGAAATTGATTTATCGATAAATACTACAAATTGGGTGCGTATTATTTTAAATTCGATAGTTTTTAATTGATTTACTTTTTAAGCTCAAAATATTTGTTTTTATTTTTTATCACCAAGTGTTTATTTCAAATTAGTGGTATTTATTGATAGCTCAATTTCATAATATATAAATGCAAAAGCAAAAAAAATTTAGAATATCGGTGCCATATTCCGCTCACCCGTTACAATTTTTTTTTCAGATGGTAAAAAATCATCCAGTATACTCGCTTTACCGGTGATTACCGGTTACCGCTAATTCACTAAACAAGACTACATCCCTAGCTATGATACCATTGTATACTACAGTTTGCTTTAACTGACAGACTAATATAATGATACGCATCTTAAAAGTTTTTGAAGACTTTTTATTTAAAATAAGAAAAAATAATACTTACTGCGATTATATTTGCAAATTAGTTTGCACACTATATACATATAAATATGTATTAAAATTAAAACGATTTTTTAAAGATGATTTTCAACACCGATCTAAAGTTTTAAATGTGCTTATTCGCTCAGTCTGTCAATACACGCAAATCCGCTATTATTGCCTTGGAATAACATCTGAATTTATATAATATTTAAATTATAACATTATTAACAATTAACAAATTGTAACATTAATTTTTTTACATTTGTATGACTATGAGCGATAGGGGTTTCTAGTTGTGATAGTGACGTTCAAAATAAGAATAGGGCCAAAAATAAAAGTACGTACTTTATTTCATAGATTTTTTATAATAACTTTAATAAAACAGTATTACAATATTTACCCATAAAATATAAGCCACCGTGGTCTCTACTTTGAGATTTTATAGTTTATAGCCTACGTTTTGGTCAACTCTTTACCAAATACGTAGGCTATTAAGTTATAGGTAATTTTAAAGACATAAAGTGAATCACAAATAAATAGTTAATTTACACAAATAATCTATCATACAGAAGCATCATATACTATAGTAGAAATAAATAAGAGTACATTGTTTGAGTTGTCAAATAATCCAAAATAAGATATTTATAAAATTAAAGAATAAAGTTTTAAATATTGCCTTAAGTACAAAACAAAACGACAAATGCCACAAAATCATGCAACACGGAAAAGGTTGGTAAATTTTCGTGTAGTTGAGCGCATTACTTTCAGTAGTTAAGCTTTATTAAAGTGCCTAGGCTCAATATCCTTCTTTTATTAATTTACATTATAGATTAAGTGCATAAGATTTGTGTTCGTTCACATATTTTGAAAATTTACTTGTGAAAATTTAATTTAGTTAACACTCACATTTCATTAAAATGTTATAAACCATAAAAGAAATTTTACATTAAATTTATAATGAAATAACTTCCCCATATTAACACGAAGTAAGCTAATTTTAAAGTGGCGTTAACGACGCAGCAATTGACTATAGGTAGCAACTAAAATATTTTGCACTTCAATGAATACACTATATTAAGTCCTTCTTCAGTTGTTCAAATATTAAAACTCCAACGAAACTCTTCTAGTAGGATTGATTGCAATAGACACAAGCTCGATTATATTAACAGTAGAACCACAAACCGAAAAGAATACACCGACTATTATCAAAATGCTTCCAAAATAAAGTCTCCACTTAAACCGCCCCAGACCAGGTCTGTCCCAAATGACTAAGAAATAAATAATGGGGGGAAAAATGAAGCCGAGACTGGATATACAAAATGCACCCAGCTGCAAGAAAAAAGCAATTTTAAGTAAAAAGCAAAAGTACTTCAATCTTCGCAAAGTTTTGCGGTTTCGCACCCATAGTGTTATTCTCAATATACAATATGTAACGTAATTAACGCACACCCTCAGACACCCCAATTAGTATATTATGTTATAATCATAATACTGATTATTTATCAAATTAGTTATACTAATTCCGGAAGAATGTTGTGGTCACAGTACAAATCCACGAACGCAAAGACTTTAACGTGCTGGAAATAAAGTTAATTTTTCTTTATTTTTATTGAATGACAGAATTAGTAATAATACAAATAAAACTGCACTCTTAAAAGTCTTATGGCCTTAAATTATGGGCCATTTCAGATTGTTTTGACTGTACAGATTTAGTGTGACTATAATTTACGTAGTTTTATTTTTGGGATAAAAAATTACCTATACCTATAAAAATTATAGGAATCAATTCAGTAAACGATTCTGAACAAACTACTTTCTCAAAGTGCGTTAATTATGTTACGTGTTGTAAATCAATTTCTGCCCGTTAGTCTCGCTAGAATTAAAAACGGCTCCACCCATTTATTAAAATTTTTTGCGTGTTTGAATGAGTCCCTAGCTGATTTATTTGGACCCGGCAGATGATGCTCTTGTCGAGATAGAGAAACCCCGTGCTAAGCCGGAGTGCATCGCTAGTATCGAATTAATTACGTACATGCCAAACCTCATCATCGTCATTATCATCAGTACAGTGTACAGTCTTTCACAAGTCCGCAGCTGAACATAATAAGCCTTCCTCAAAGAATTCTACAAAGCACGGTCCTGGACCACCGAAATCCACTGATTTCCTGCATCTTTTACCAGGTCGTCACTCTATCCAGTGGGGCATCTCCCCTACATTTTGCCTTTCGGTACGAGGCTGCCACATAAGAACCTTTCTTTCCCATCGGTTGTCGGTTCTTCGAGCTATATGGCCTTCAGCTTACTTAACTGCCACATGAGAACCTTTCTTTCCCATCGGTTGTCGGTTCTTCGAGTTTTTTTTTTTTTTTTTTTGTTTTTTATATGGCCTTCAGCTTACTTAACTGCCATTTTTACCTTTTTTTGCGGTTCTTCGAGCTATACTAGAACCTTTCTTTCCCATCGGTTGTCGGTTCTTCGAGTTATATGGCCTTCAGCTTATTTAACAGTTGACCTATATTTTCTCTCTTCTGCTGTGGATATCCACATTTATAAATCTTTCACGCAGCGAAACTATATAGCTCTCAAGCTGAGCGACCTTGAGCTTCCAATTATACAGATAGCAGTGAAGGACCATGTATCAAATCCACATATTATCTTCAAGGACAACACGCACCACTGATACTATTGAAGTCATTGAGCATAATGCTGAGGTCCTCTAGCGATTATCTCATATGAACCGTACCGTGAGTAAATCAAAGGTGAGTGATGTACTCGCCCTTGATATTAATACCGTATCTTTTGCAGTCCAACTTGAAAACGTCTTCCAATGTAGCGTTGAAGTTTCGGAGATATAGCGACAACCAGTCTTATACATCTTTGCAATTAAATCGGTTCGTACTCTGGTTTCATACTCAAATAGCCATCGTAGAACTACTGTGCAAATACTTCAGCACTTTGATATACCGACAGACAAATTGGCACTGCTGAAGGGACTGTAACATCGCCCAAATATCGACGCATTTAAATGTTTTCTCATTTTTTATATACCCAAGACAAAGTGGTACATTGTACTTCTCGGTTTTCTGTAAAATTTGTCGAGGGGTATGTATGTAGTCTATGATGCTAAAGCCTTTTCAGAAACCGACTTGTTTGGGAGAGTAGAAGTCGTCAAATTTGCGTTTAAGACGATTCGTAATAACTCTTAAAAACAGTACGTAACCGCGGCTCTGAAGATAAAATCTGTAATACTTCAATAGAGCGTTGTCGCCTTTCTTGAAGAACAAGGCCACTGTGCTTCTGCTTTATGCCTTCGGAGTAGTGCCACCATTAAGGATGCAATTGAAGAACTTTTAAAGGTCCTTAAGTACTTTTTTTCCACCCGCTTCTGAAAGCGGACTCTGTAATTTCAGCCTCGCCTGCGGCCCTGCGCTTTTTAAAATGCTGGAGAGTCCTACTTTTATCCGGGATCTCATCGGAATAGTATAGGATGAGACTTGTTCTCGGTTCGTTACTCCTACTTGCATGTGGCTCCAACGATGACGTGTACAGCTGTCCGTAGAACCTCTTAATCTCACTCAAAATCCCAGGAGTCCCGGAAACGATGCTGCATTCGGTCTTCAGCTTCGACAGTTGGCTCTTTCCGGCAAACAGATCTCTCAAAGACTTTGAAGGCTCTGTTCCGCTTAATCACTTTTTTAATACGAACTGTATTAAAGTTGCGTTAGTTCCGTCGCATGCATCTGTTTGTAAGCTGTGGTATCTGCTGAAGACTGCAGCCTCATTTCCTGCCTAACAGCCTTGAGATTAAAAGTGCACTCATGGGACGATATTTGCCATGCTCGGCAAGCGGGTTAGCATCCCATTTAGTTTAGTGGGTGTCATTAGAGGCGGCTTTAGGATAAGCCAAAAGTATCGTATTTCTTCCGATAAATAGTCAGAAGTAATTAACTAAGCCGGTGATGGAGAAAAACGTTAAAAGTGCAAGCTGCGAGCCCAAATTCGCCTGCCAAGCGCGAACATTTACCATATATATAAATAAGATAAATTTGAAGCGACAGTAGCCTAATGGCAGGGCGCGGACCGCGAACTCCAAAAGGTCGTGGGTTCGAATCCGCCAAAGACATTTAAGTAGTAATAGTAATAGACCGGACATTACCAACAAAATTGTCAACTTTTGTCCTATAGGATATATCTCCGATTTTTGTCATTTAGTCTTAGTGACATCGTCAAAAGGTCAAGACGCAATCGTTTCGTAAATTTAAAAATTATTTTTAAAGAAAATATGCCCTGTTGTGCATTAGGATATTGTAAGTCACGATAAGGAGCAAAAAATGAACGTGATTTCGGTTTATTATCGTAATTATAATGTATGCTTACAAAATAATCTTTTAATTTTAATATATCTAGTTGATTTTTCTAGAAAATTTATTATTTTCATAAGCGCTCTCTGTCATCCAGTAGTATCTTTATTTATTTACAAATGTGTTAGTGATTGACGATTGGCGTTATCGATAAAAAATACAGAATGCCGATTTAATCATCTACAATATTTAGAGAGGTGAAACAGTCAACGATACTGTACCCATACTAACAAAGATGAGTAGCATAATATACCAACTATGCTAAGTAGCTTACTTTATGTGGAGAAAGGGTGGGAAAATGTTTTTTTACGCATGCTGATGGGATTTTCTGTGTTGCTTTTGAGCATGCTAGAAGCCTGGTGTGTAAAGCACAGCTGTGCACTAGATCAATGATGTCTAGTGTTTTTCAAAGACGAAGCCTTATAGATCCTGGCTTACACTGATAGGGGAGGGCTTTAGGTTTGTTACATTAAAAACAATTTATACTGTTAAAGATATAAGATGCAAGAAGTTGTAGGCTAAGCGTGAGTTAGGAAATAAGGTAGAACCCTAAAGTGACGGTTTTTTATTGATGTGGGTCTATAAGTATTGCATCTGATTAAATTGACATAGTAACATAAAATTTAGAAACTGCTTACAAACATATCATGTTATTAAAACCTTTTGCTTACAGAGTTCTACGAACCGGCATTATTATTATGGTTTTTGTATAAGCACGAATCTGGCAATTTTAGATTTCCGTCAGTTAATACCGCAGTGCGTGAAAAATTGGCTTCCATCTGCTACATATATCAAAATTATGCTCAAAGCACTTTAGAAGCGAAGATGTGTACTACGAAAAGACTGGTCGTACAATTTAAAAAAGGATCATTTCCTCGTTTTGCAAGTGAAGTAAGTTGTATGTTATTTATAGCGGTACACCCAAGCAAAGCTAAACATTTGCCTATTAGTCTTAACCACAGATTTTATTTTATTTTTTCTTGACATCACCTTTTTATAATTGCACAATAATGAAACAAATACGGAAGCTACCAGAGTTTACACCAATCGGTGTTGTTGTATCAAACTCTGAGTCAATATTCGATATGATTAAAACTACTTTTACGGATTTTATCGCGTTTATTTTTTCTTACTTTTTACTTTTATTTTTAATTCCCGACGTTTCGGGCGCTTTCCAGCACCCATGGTCACGGGGGGCTGAGATGACTGACGTCTTGATGTCATTGTTAAACCCGGAGTACCTTCAGCTTTTTTAATAATTGTTTATGGTCCGATCTATGCAAAATAAACTGACTATGTCCTGAAGTCTTGCAGTGGTATGCTTGGGTTTAGTTTTAATTTTATTGATTATAGGATCCCAAGCAGGTGGTAGTACCCAGCCTCCTTCTCTATTGAAATTAGGATGTTTTTTAATTTCAATAGCCTCACGTATCATCCTTGGTAGGAATCGGTGTTCTTTCGCGAGGATTTGTGGTCTATCAAATCTGATGTAATGGTTGGGGCCGTCAATATTCGATAGTCAGAGGAAAATTGAATTGAAGTCGCAAGTTCGCAATTTACAAAAACAAAAAATACACCATAAGGCTAAAATGTAAAAACTAGGCCAACAAAATATATATTTCAAACGGAAAATATTAAACTTAAAAGATTTAGTTAAACATTTCGAAAAGAAGTTTGATATTTAAAAAAATATGGTTAATTCCTTAAATGCTACAGTAGAAACGCAAGCCGTCTATGATAGACTCAATAAGTAATCGACGAAGGCGGGATTACCTCATCGTAAATTTAATCCTTCTTTTCATAAATTTGCTCTAACTCTCCATTATTACTCTCCAGCTGCTTACAAGTATGCTAGAAAATGTATTTTTGTAAAAGAAACGAATTCAAAAACATAGAACTACTCCCTTATTGCATTTGGCGTATCTCGATGTGCTATGATATGCTATTATTATAGCATCTAATAGACTGAGCGACGTCATCCAAGATGCCATCAATGTGACTGCTGTTTGAGTTGATTCTTAGTTATTGGAAATAAATTATGTTATTGGAAATAAAGTATTTTATTTCATGACATTGAAGTGGCGAAAAAAGTTAATATGATTTTTATGTGTGATAGAAGCCATAATAATTAGATTTATACAATAAAACAATCATGCATATTCGCTACTATTATACCTTAATGTATTTCAAACTAAGTAATCCTCAACAACGTTATCGATACTTTGATGTCGAAACGGGAAAATTAAACTTAAAAAAAAACCGATACCAAAACTGATTATTTATAATCTATATTATGTATTTACCTTATATTTATTAGCGTCACCTAATGGGGAATAGCTGAAATGTTTTCCATATAAATAATCAGCGTGGTGTTGCTATATTTCGCTAGAGGGTATCACACACGCACGAGCTCACAGTTTTTGTATGCAAACGTTCCTAATGTCCGCTCTATTGTATATATATATATATATATATATATATATATATATATATATATATTAGAGATGGGCCGAATATTCGTTTTATGTTCGGTATTCGGCATATTCGGCAGCTTTACCGAATATTCGTATTCGACCGAATATTCGGCTAAATCACCGAACATTCAGACCGAACATTTTCATATTGTCCAATGTATTGAAATGTACGAATTGAGTAATGTGATGTCTTTTACTGTTGAAAGTATATTTTATTTATGGGTTAAATCTACTCGTACTTACTCTAGTTTAGAGTGCCTACAATACATAAATTCAAATCTCCTGCCGCTCATTTTTATCATATAATTATCAATTTTCACTAAGAATAAAACAAACGAAATACTTTTTTATCACAAGAATATTTAAAACACAAGCATGTGCCGGCAATTTGCTCAGTACTAGATGATGCAATAACTATCAGGTGCAGCGTGGGAGCGAGGGGCAGGGTCCGAAGGTAATCCGCGCGCTTTACGGTAACAAACTAGTTTCGACATAAATTGATAAAAATTTTACCGAACATTCGGCCGAATATTCGTATTCGGTGAAATCCATAGCCGGCCCATCCCTAATATATATATATATATATATATATATATATTTAAATCTCTTTGGAATCCGCCATTCGACTACTGGCGTGAACCACTCGTAACACAAGCAATTTAAGCTTACCACGAGTGGTTAATAATATTCCCCATATTAGTAATGTTTATAGCATTGATAATATTCTTTTTTTTAAATATATATATAAAAAAAATATCCTTCATTTAACGGGAGAGGTTCCACGTCCATTAGTTTATTATTAAACTGCTTTAATTGGAGGGATATTTGCCACAGTTGCCACGGTTGGTAAGCGGACTTGTTTCCCTCTGTCGCTTCTTACGACACTCACAGGGTCATAAGGAGTATCTAGTGGATATTCTTGCGTCGCGACTGCGCGAATGAATGAATGAATGAATATACTTTTATTGTACACCACAAACAAATATACAGATAACAAAACAAAAAGCGGATTATAATACTATGTAAGTACAATTTGGCGGCCTTATCGCTACATAGCGATCTCTTCCAGGCAACCAAAGGTGTAAGGATTAGAATAGTGTGAACCAGGTAGGTGGTGCAATATAAATATACAAAATATAATATTAATACACGCGATTTATAGACAATACATGCAATAAAATAACATACAAACAACAAATACATGAAATTATATAAATTGCTAAAATATAATAAAAATAAAGTAAAACACATATATAAATATACATACATATATATAAAAATATCAACAAAGTTATAGATTTACCCATATATACAGAGTGTTAGTGTAAACACCATTGTTCTTGAAACCAGTGGTTTGGTTTTACTTATAGAACGTAAATTCAATGAATTTAAAAAAAACGCTACTTTCTTTCATAAAAATTTAAAAAGTTTCTGTCCGTCACCGTCCGTAAATTCATGGATACCCTATGCGCCCGAGTGACGTACATACACATATATATATATATATATATATATATATATATATATATATATATATATATATACATATATATATATAAATAACAAAATTCCTTAAACAATAATATAAAGCAGATAAATACAATAGATACATAATCACTTAATTTATTCTAACGATGCTCATACGACTGAGACAAGTAATGATCTTTAAGTAGTCGCTTAAATATAACAATAGTTTGTGACAATGATGATGAAGACATAAAAACACTAAGATAATATATAAAAATAACTGGCAAATACTTACGAATCCTATCAGTGCGTTAATAGTGGGAAATATGATTGCGATTATCGCAATAGCTATTACAAAAATCGTTCTGTAAATCATCTCCCACATGAATTCTTTGTTCGGGTCATGTCTCTTCTTTATATAATGAAAAACGGTCATGAAAGGCACCCAAAAGTTTAGGCCATGTGTGATGTAAATCATGACGATGATACTGCCTTTCACCACCTTTCCTAACCTGAAAATTCATGTATTTTAAGAATTTGTCATATTCCTTATGTTTCCTTCTGAACGTGATCACTTTAATTGACAAAAGGCCCCCGAAACATAAAGAGTCGATTATCTTCAAACGGCCGAAAAGATTTTGTCGAGTCACAGATAAGTTATTCGGGCATTCCCGATCAAGTCACCTTGCAAACAAAAAAAACTAAATCTGTATCGGTTCATCCTCTTTGAAGCTACAGTGCCACGAAAAGACACACAGATACCCAGGTTAAACATGTAACACCCATCTGTTTGCGTCGAGGCTTGAAAAGAAACCTGTTGCACCTTGTGTCACAGGCTATGAAGTATTCAATCTTAGCCTTTATGAATGATCACAATGATAACACATGCTACCCATGTATTGGGTTTTATCAAGATTCGATATAAGCCTACAGAATGCTATCAAATTTGTGACTTGGTTTCTTCAAGTTGACTGCTAGTGTCACACATACCTCAATGTGAGAAGTTCATCCATTATAGCCTATAAAGTCCACAGCTGCACAGCCCTTCCTCATAGTATTATATCATAGTTGGCACGCTTGGCAAGCGGGTTGGCAACCAAGTTGGTTGAGTTGTTATCGGGAATAGCTCATCTCCTGTTTCCTTTTCCTCGGAACCATATGCGGCAGTGAAAAGTCTTACACCGCCCGGAAATGGTTACCGTGTTATCGTCGAAGAAACAGCAAGATCATTTATTAGTTTAGTGCTTTTAAATACTTTTATAGAAAATAATTATGAGATGAAATAGAGTTTCTACAATTTCGAGTACGCTACTCTTTAAGTAAACTTTAAAGGGCACGTCGTTTTTCTTAGGTTTTTAAACGTGAATACTAAAGAAATTTTTTGAAAAAATTTACACAATTTTGGGTAAGAAGCTTTTTTTTTATCGGTCACTTCATAGCAGAACAACTTATAAGCCTGAAAACAATTACCGTTACTAGTGAACATTTTGAACGGCACTAATTCTATAGATTATGTAACTTCAGTTAGTTTATAGAGTGTTTTGCTCTGGTTACAATATAATTACGGGTTAACTTAATTATTCATCTTACTGATGTCCGAGTTAACTTCAGCTGTCATAGATCAAAAAAATGTAGCTAAAGCGCAATAAATTATGCAAAGTTATGGACGACACACACGGTCAGTTCACCTGACCATTCAAACTTATCAGTTCAAACTAGGACTGTTGATGAATATATAAATAGGAGTGATATATGGATAAATAAACATATATATAAAACTTCGACATTGATTTATTTATAAATATACAAAAAATCCGTTATTTAAAAAAATGTCAACGGTTCTAGTTTGAACTGATCAGTTGTAATGATGTGTTGAACTGACCGTGTGTGTCGTCTATTGATATAATAAGTAGTATACACGAAAATGTTAGAAATTAATTAAATCGTACAAATATCTAAAAAAATACGAACGTATTAAGAGCGAAATTGACAGTAATCGGTGATTCGCTATTCTCCAGGAATGCAGCATAACCAAAGAAGGATACTGAGAAAGTGCTGAGAATTACAAGACCCATTCCTGAAAATAGTTTTTAAATTAATATAAAATACCTAATTTTAAAGTAATATGAGTTTAATATTATTAGATGTTGTAGTTTTAAGCTGTCTTTTCTCCATTGTCTTCTCTGTTGTAAACAACATAAAATGAAAATGCTGCCAGTGACATATGGGTATTCCGAAAAAGCCATGGGCGTAACTATGAAAGACCTCTTAGGGCACAGCTCTCTTATAAAAATAATATGGGACCTTTTCCAATTTCCATGGTTAATGCTGACTTATAGAATAGAAAAGCTACATCAATTTGAAGTGATACCAAAATTGCAGATATAAAAAAGATAGACACAACATCCCAAGCATATGTTTAAATTTCGATAGACATTAATTGGTTTATTAATTTACATTACTGGGGATGTCAGATTGTTCTTTTTTCAGTTTTTCTACCTGGACCAAACTAGTTACCTAATAACAGCGAACAGTGCCACACTTAGAAACTTTTATCTGTCCTCAATAAAGACGGGCCGTGGTAGCTCAGATGGTTAACGCTCGCTGTAAATATAACAGAACGCGAGTAACCAAGGTTCGATCCCCGCCGGCACCAATGGAATTGTTAATTGCAATTTTAAGTGCTGATTTACCACGTGCTCGGCGGTTAAGGAAAACATCGTGAGGGAACCTGCATGTCTGAGGAACAAGAAAAAAATATTTCGAAGACATGTGAAGTTCGCCAACATGCATTAGGACAGCGCGGCGGACACTTCCTTACCCTAAAACCCTCTCAGAAATGAGGGGAGGCGTGTGTCCAGCAGTGGGACGTATATTTATGTAGGCTTTAACCTTACTTTACTACTTACTTTTACAATAAAGACTTAAGCAAAAAGGTGCTCGATCATCCTATGGACTAACTACGTAAACCTCTGACATTATGAAGTTCTTTTTTGCCATATTTGCCATGCCTGGCAAATAAATGAGAGACAAGACACTTGTCGGTTAGCTATACTGTAACTAGGCCTTAGAACTAAGCCTGCTGCAGTACAACCACTGACATAATATTCAAAAGATATGGAAAACACTGAATGTGTGTCATTTAATTTATAAAATTAATTTCCTGAAAACCGTTCAAGCGTATCGTATTAGTTATGCATAGAAGCGTTGCAGTCATAAATTAATTTAAAATGAAGACCTTTTATAAATCGCTTTGCTAAAATCCTTTTTTTTAATTTTTTTCATCCGTTGGTGTTAATGAGCAATTAAAACTTTGTGTTACTAATATTAGTGACATAATTAATTTATTTTAATTAATTAATCTTAAACTTATTAAATTTAAATTTAATTTATATTAATCTTGCGCCTGGCTGACAGCTCGACGCATGCAGACAAATCCAATGCTCTAGCAGTGGAGAATCCCACATATTTGCCAATGCGCTCAGAATGCTATTCGTTGATTCGGGCATACGTCTTAGCAGCGAGGCGCTTCTGTTGCAGATAATGGTACAAAAGCAATTAGCTTGTGCCTCAGAAAACATAGCCGACGCACTACAAAAACGCGGCAGCTCGAACAAATACTCGTAAGAATTTCCGTATACTATTTAAAGTTAATAGTAAAAAAAGAAACGTGAACCCAGGAAAGTTTAATGACGTACAGCTATTTCGAAATAGTGTTCGAAACCAACTTCACAGAACATACAAAAGTGTCTACAAGATTGCGAACCAACACAAAGTGCTTTATACTCTACTACTCTCTCTCTACTACTCACCAGTTCAATTCACATTCGAGTCAAAAAAGTCCATAAGCTCTATTCTTTTACTAGGTAAATATAATTAAAACAAAATTAAAAACAGTACCAAGCAAAGAATCAATTTTGAATAACGATTAAAACACTGACATATTTTTTGGCAAGAAGTTTTTAACTACGAACTTAAAAGAACAATTATTCAAAAAATACTTGTCGATAACAAAATAATTCATAATATCACTTTCTTTATATTTTTCTAACAAAACCTAATTTTCAAATAAATACAATATTTATTGAATACAGGACAGTCGCAGCTGCTCATTGTTGGATGTCTGAATGTCACTTACGAAATCCTATACCTTTAAACGAGCAATTCTTGTATATACAACATGTAACATAGTTAACGCACTTTGAGAAAGTAGTTTGTTCAGAATCGTTTACTGAACAGATTCCTATCATTTTTAATATAGGTAATTTTTTATCCCAAAAATAATTAAAACTACGTAAATTACAGTCACACTAAATCTGTATAGTCAAAACGAACTGAAATGGACCGTAACTTAAGGCAATAAGACTTAAGAGTGCAGTTTTATTTGTATTATTACTAATTCTGTCATTCAATAAAAATAAAGAAAAATGAACTTTATTTCAAGCATCTTAAAGTCTTTGCGTTCGTGGATTTGTACTGTGACCACAACATTCTTCCGGAATTAGTATAACTAATTTGATAAATAATCAATGCATAAAAATGTTTAACTAAAAATTCAGTGTATGTATTATGGTTATAACATAATATACTAATTGGGGTGTTTGAGGGTGTGCGTTAATTACGTTACATATTGTATATATAATCGGAATCTCGGAAACGGCTCCAACGATTTTCATAAAATTTAGTGTCCAGGGAGTTTCGGGTGTTGGAGCGCCTGCGCAGTCTTTTTGAGCAAAGAATTAAACAACGTACTTGTAATAATTACGTCCGTACTTAACGTTAATTTTAAACAGGGTCTTTGTCTTTGCAATATATTCATTACCCTCTCAGCTGTTGTAAGATCAATACAATCGTCCAAGACCACATTCAAGTTGCATTATTTTAAAATTCCCGTAAACTCCCCTGGTCCTGGATCGTCGCCGGATATAAAATAATAAGCACCAGAATCTATATTATACTCGTATATGGTAAATTTAGTGGAGTTTACGTTGGAATCAAATTTGGAGTTACGTCGCCGCCATCAAGAATGTGGGTCAATTTGCAGTAATTACGTGGTGTTTAAGATAAAGTTTAAGATTTATCATCACCCAACACTCTATTAAGGTAATCTAATAGTATTTGGTGTAAATCACCGGACTTATAAGGCTAGTGAATTTATTGTTCCTATCGATTATTAATTACTTACTGCGTTGTGGAATTCGCAATTTTTGATAATTTGCAGTAATTAAGTAAGAAGTTGTGTTGTAAGGATACTGTTAGAAATTAATCGACATTATTTTTTGCTTATTTACATTATTTAGTATATTTGTGCAGTAGAAATCGTATAGTAGCATTAATGATTATTACCTACAGTAAGTAAATGTTTTTAGGCTTTAATTATAATTTATTTTGTTGATTAGAATGTTTTATAGTAATAAAATTATACTAAAGTAATAGCGTAATTGTAGCATAGGACGATTGTTGGTTTTTTCATTGATTTCGTGGGTATATAATAATTGAATTAGGTATTGTAAGTAGCTTAAATCATAAAATTATCTACTATTATTTGAACGTCGAGAAATATTGTTTAATGTTACTTGTCACTATAATATTATTAAATTATTATTTGCCGAGTTAGTACCTACATACTGTATAATATAGTTAAGTAGTTTTTCAAAGCTTAGTAGTTAGTTAGTGCATTAGACAGTCGGAGATTATTTTGAATATTTGTAATTGTATACATTCCAGATCGAATACTCTCGTCTTCCAGAATGACCGAAGAAAGGGAGCTGATCAAAAAACGAGGTACTCTGTTTTAAAGGCCGCTTAACTGCTGTCATTGGTTACTTGGATTCGCTTACTACACCTTTACAAAATCATGACGCGACGAAATTGCAATTGCGTATGGGTAAGCTGGACACATTGTATAACCAATATGCTGAGGTGCAGTTACGCTTAGAATGTATTGTCGACAAACCCGACTTACAACTGACTGAGCGTTCATGCTTTGAAACTCAGTATTACAAGGCGCTAGCTAAAGCTCAAATTTTACTCAGCGATCAACATAATGCTAACTCTGAATCGGCAGGTTCGAGTCGTTGTTAAGCTACCTACTATACAGTTGCCAAAATTTAGTGGATCATATGAGAACTAGTTGGAGTTCCATGATACCTTCATTAGCCTTATTCACTCTAATGATGAAATCGATGAAATTAATAAATTTCATTATTTGAAACTGAAACAACTTGGTCTACAGTGCAAAAACAAAGCCATAGCGGACATCATAATGTCGATGATCTGCTTACGGGTGCTGATGACTTAGATGACGTAAAGGCCATACGTCGAGGGGTTGCCGAAGTATCGGCATCTGCTCGTATGCCATTGCGAAAGTGGAGATCGAACGATCCCGAGTTACTGTCAGAAATTGCCAATACATCACTTGACCTAAATATTGGTTCTCGCGAGCCAGACAAGTTGTTAGGTCTTGGCTGGCATTCGAATTCAGATGAACTCTGCTTTCCATTGAATTCACTAGTTCCTGATGGCAATACTAAGCGTGATTTGCTTTCAGTGATTGCACAAATCTTTGACCCGCTGGGTCTTTTAGCCCCGTATGTAATCACCATGAAAATGTTAATACAAAGGCTTTGGTTAGACAAACTTTCATGGGATGAATCACTGTCTCCCGAAATTAAGAAACGCTGGTATTGTTGGGAACCGGTTGCATATACGCGCGGGTGGAGACGCGCGGGAGGACGACACGTCGACGTCTGGTCGGGCGGCAGCGACGCGGCGGCCACTCGCTTTACGATACTCCACCGCGGTCGGACGACAACACTAATTTTAATTTATAATAATAATTTTATTAAGTAGACCGGGTTATTGTAAAGTACGGATGATTATATCAGCCCTATAAGAATATACAGTCCACTTTCATTTTAACCACGTCCCAGGACCCTAACAGGTATGGCATTATCAAATCTCTTCCTCTCTTAAATAACATTCGTATTCCACGACTGCTGCAACTGCATATTTTCACTGACGTTTCCGAGTGCGCATACGGTGCGTGCATTTATGTTCGAAGCGTCAGCGATAAGACACAAGTTATGGTTCGATTATTAACGGCTAAGAGCCGTGTAGCCCCAATCAAACCCACAACAATACCACGATTGGAGTTGTGCGGTGCGTTGGTAGGAGCTCGTCTTTGTAAGAAGGTTGTAAATTCCCTTCGTGTTAAAATTGACCAAGTCTTCTTTTGGACAGGCTCCACGATTGTTTTGGGGTGGTTGCGAATGTTGCCTTGCAAACTTTAACCTTTCGTGCGTAATCGTGTCGCTGAAATTTTGGATAAGGCCAGTGACCATAAGTGGGGACACGTCCCAACAGATAGGAACCCAGCAGACTTAATATCTCGTGGTGTGGATATCAGTGCTCTGGCAGGTCTTAGATTGTGGTGGTCAGGTCCAGATTTTTTAATGTATGACATATCAAAACGGCCTTCTCAGCCTAAGAATGTTGAAACATTACCGGAAACGCGTCATGATATTATATAAACTTCAGTCACTACTCATCCAAAAAATAATGATTGTTTCATTGATTTTTGTCGTTTCTCGAATTATTCACGCCTTGTACGTTCCGTAGCTTACGTTTTACGATTCATTATGTCTTGTAAAAGACAGTTTATTCCTTCAAATTACTTAACGGAATTAGAATTACGAAACGCGTTAAATATTATAATTTCAAAGTGTCAATATGATTCCTTTTCAGAGTACAGTTTGCTTCTGTATAAACAAAATTTACCTAAGATAAGCCATGTATTTTTAGATGAAAATAAAGTTATGTGTGTTGGTGGTCGTCTTGATAATTCTAAATTTTCATATAATAAAAAGCATCCTATATTATTACAGTCCAATCATATATTTACAAAATTATTATTTGACCATGAACACAAAAGGCACACAGCTACTGTTGGCAAACATTAGAGATACTTATTAGCCGTTAGGTGGTCGAAGTCTAGCTAAGGCCTGTTATCATAAATGTATACGATGTCATCGCATAAAGGGTAACGTTTCGAATCCACTAATGGGTAACTTGCCACAGCAGCGTCTCCTTTCGGGTGGCTTTCCTTTTGAGACCGTAGGAGTCGATTATGCGGGCCCTGTTACGAGCGCCACTAGTCAAGGTCGTGGGTGTCGACCGGTAAAGGTTAAAAATATGTATTGTCTGTTTCACTACTAAGGCGATTCATTTAGAGTTAGTAGGTGACTTAACCAGCAATGACTACATATTTGCTGGCATTGCGCAGGTTTATAGCTCGAAGAGGTAAGCCAGTTAATATTTATTCCGATAACGGTGCTTCTTTTGTTGGTGCATGCAATGACTTATCCAAATTTTTAAAGGGCAATTGCGATTTTTTGAGCGAAAGCATGGCCAATGATAATATTAACTTTAATTTTATTCCGGCGTATACTCCTCACTTCAGTGGTCTCTGGGAGGCGGGAGTCAAATCGACAAAATATCATTTGCTTAGAGTGTTGGGCAATTGTCACTTAACGTATGAAGAACTTTACACCACGCTAAACCCAGATCGAAACAATATTGAACTCCCGGCCACTCACTCCACTATCTTCAGATCCTGCAGATTGTACGCCCTTCACTCCGAGAAATCTTTTAATTGGGCGTGCGCTGACTTCATTACCGCAACCAGACTACCAGCATCACTCCACTCCGTTATTAACCAGATTCCAACGCATTGAGCAACTGCGTCAGCATTTTTGGGAACGATGGAGCAAGGAGTACGTCTCAGAAGTTCAACAAAGAGTGAAATGGCGTTCTTGCAAAGATAACTTAAAGATAAACGATTTGGTGGCAGTCAAGGAAGACAACCTTCCACCGCTGAAATGGAAGCTGGGAAGAGTCGTTGCAATTCACCCAGGAGCCGATGGCATTGTTCGAGTTGCAGACATCAGAACTTCTACTGGGATTATCAAGAGGGCATTTAACCGGATGTGCCTATTACCGGTGTCATTTAATTCTGGTTGAAATCAAAGATTTCAACGCCCGGGGGCATGTTGGAGCGCCTGCGCAGTGTTTTTGAGCAAAGAATTAAACAACGTACTTGTAATAATTACGTCCGTATTTAACGTTAATTTTCAAGTTTCAAGTTCCAAGACCACATTCAAGTTGCATTATTTTAAACATCGGGGGCAATAAATCGATCTAGCTAGGATATATATATTTTTGGAAAATGTTTTTTTGTCCGTGTTTTCAGGCAATGAAAAACTGCTACAATATAAGAGGGTAAATTTTGACAAATTGTTAATGCTCGTAATAGCTCAAGTGAATAGCGAACGGTCGCAAGATCGTAATGCCTTGGTTCGAGTCCCGCCTTCGGTCCGACTTTTTTTCCTTTTTTAAGGTTCCCTTCTTTTGTGAGAAAATCTATTATTTCGAGCCCTTTTTTTTAGTAGTTTTTAAAAATAAGAAAATTTTAATTTAACTAATTGCACTCATGATTTTTTATTCAAATAACCAGTTCAGTTTTTTCTATTATGTCAATAAGATCAAAAAATATTATTCATCAGTATGTAATTTGTATCTAATTGTAATTTCAAAAAAATTAGGTCATCCGGGTACTGTTTTCTAATCCTATCAACAAGTCCAGATCCTCACACGTAGGTTCTCATTAGAGCCACCGTTTAAATTATGAGGCCAAGTAAAATCTAATCAAGTGCGTATCCATCCATTCGTTCAACCCGTTATATACTACTAACTATATATTTGTCATTGTTTCTAAAACAAATTGTTGTCACATAAGACTTCTCTCGTAGGTCTTGCGTAAACGAGATGATTATACCGCCAAGTATCAGAAGCCAAGAAATAGGGGATTCCCATGATTGCTTTTTGCTAAACCACGAGACGAAATTGGGCGATGGATTCTGATATGTTTTGGATCACAAGAGAGTTTAAAACAGAGTTTTTCTGACAGAAACTAAATTGTATTCATTTTCAGACAAAATATGACTTTCTTCGAAGATTTAAGCCTTCAAGCGCCATAAAAATCCCATGCAATCGCATGCGCCCGGCATATCCCGAGCGGTCGCATGCAACCGCACCCACCCACAGCACTGGAAACTATTAAAACATATTTACTACTACTACTTTTCTATGAAGAAGTTTAGCATTATAAATCATCACCACCGCGGCTAATAGTTGTTTTTATTAATTTGTTATATTTATTGATTTTATTCTTTATTATATTCCTTAAAACAAAAGAATACAAAGGGCGAAATTAATGCCTTGTTGCATTCTCTACCAGTCAACCCATGAAGTGGTGAGAATTTGACAAATGATAATTTAATAAGGTAATATCTTACCCACGGTTATAGCTAGACCAAACTTTGTCGGATCCTTCATGTTATTCTCAATAGGTACAACAACGCTAACACATGACATGCTGAATACATTCATGCCAACGAATTGCAGGAAACTGTATAAGCTTGTATAAGGAGTCATGCCTTCAAACTTTGGATTATTTTGAAAGGCGTAAGCTATCGCTACTCCTATGCAGAATACTGAAAAAAATTTGTTAATTAATAATAAAGACTAGTAACACACACACCACACACACACGCGCACACACACACACACACACACACACACACACACACACACACACACACAGCGCACGCATAAACGCGCGCGCGCACAAAGCACAGTCCTGAGCCACCTGCATCCACCGATTTCCTGCATATCTTAACAGGTCGTCACACCATCTAATGGGGGGTCGCCATACACTACGCCTACCGGTACGAGACTGCCACTCGAGAACCTTTCTTCCCCATCGGTTAACGGTTCTTCGAGCAATATGATCGTCCCGTTGCCACTTCAGTTTACTAATCCGTTGGGCTATGTCGGTCACTCTGGTTTTACTGTGGATATCCTCATTTCTGAGTCTATCACGCAGAGAAACTCCGAGCATAGCCCTCTGATATAGCTTGCTGAGTTACCTTGAGCGTCCTCATAAGGCCAGCAGTGAAGGACCACGTCTCAGACAAGTAATCACTGGCAACACGCACTGATTGTACAATCTGGTTTTCGGAGATTGAGGTATACCTGACGAGAAGATGTGTCGTAATTTCCCGAACGCTGCCCAGCCAAGTTGAATCCGTCGATTGACCTCTCGGTCGAAGTTGGAAGTACCTAGTCGGACTATTTGTCCCAGGTAAACGTACTCGTTAACAACTTCGAGCATAGTATTCCCAACAACTACCGGCATAGGTATGACATGGACATTAAACACGATCTTTGTTTTGTCCATGTTCATCTTAAGACCTATCCGTTGGGAGACACCATTGAGATCATTGAGCATAGTGCTTAGGCCCTCCAGCGATTCTGCTATAATGACTATATCGTCGGCAAATCGAAGGTGAGTGATGTACTCGCCATTGATGTTAATACCGTATCCTTTCCAGTTCAGTAGCTTGAAAATGTCTTCCAATGCAGCGGTGAAGAGTTTCGGGGATATAACGTCACCCTGTCCTACACCTCTCTGCAGTTGGATAGGTTTCGATCTTTGATTCTGTACTCGGATAGCCATCGTAGCCCTACTGTACAAACACTTCAGCACTTCGATATACCGACAATCAACTTGGCACCGCTGAAGAGACTGTAGCACCGCCCAAATTTCGACGGAATCAAAGGCTTTCTCATAGTCCACATACGCCAAGCAAAGTGGGAGATTGTACTCTTCGGTCTTCTGTACAATCTGTCGCGGGGTATGTATGTGGTCTATGGTACTGATGCCTTTTCGGAAACCAGCTTGTTCGGGAGGCTGGAAGTCATCGAATGTGCGTGCGAGACGATTCGTAATGACTCTCGAAAACAGCACGTAGACGCGGCTCAGAAGGGAAATCGGTCTGTAGTTCTTCAAGAAAGCGTTGTCGCCTTTTTTAAAGAACAAGACCACCGCACTTCTGCTCCACGCCTTCGGAGTAGTGCCACCATGGAGGACGGAATTGAAGAGCTTCTGAAGGACTTCAAGTACCGGTGTTCCACCCGCTTTCAGAAGCTCCGCTGTAATGCCATCCTCGCCCGGGGCCCTGCCGTTTTTAAGGTGCTGGAGAGCCATTCTACTCTCGCTCAGACTGATGTCCGGGATATCATCGGAATAGTGTCGGATAAGACTTGCTCTTGGATCGGTACTCACACTTGCGTGTGGCTCCAACGATGATGTGTACAGCTGCCCTTAGAACCTCTCAATCTGACTCAAAATCTCAGGTGTCCCGGAAACGATGCTGCCACACTCAGTCTACAGCTTTGACAGTTGGCTCTTTCTGGCAGACAGGTCTCTGGCAAAGACTTTGGAGCCCCGGTTCCGCTCGATCGCTTCTTTAATACGAGCAGTATTAAAGTTGCTTAAGTCTCGCCGCATGCATTTGGAGATCTGTCTGTTCAGTTGCCTGTATGCTGTCAAATCTGTTGACGATTGCAGCCTCATCTCCCGTCTAACAGCCATGAGATTAAGAGTGTGATCGGAGAGTTTTTCAGTTTCCACGAGCTTGTCATTCATATCGTTCATTGCATTGCAATCTTCTAGGCACTGAAAACGGTTACGTAACTTGAGCTGAAAGGTTTCGGATTCTAGATTAGAGAACGAGGGGGACGGAACATTGACTTCATTAGACGAGACCTCTCCAACTTAACGTTTAGGTTCAGTGTGCCTCTAACCATTCGGTGATCGCTCCCAGTTTTCACCCTTGCGATCACTGAGACATCACTGAACAGTTGGCGTCTGGTCGTCATAATGAAGTCAATCTCATTTTTTGTCGAACCGTCGGGGCTCGACCAGGTCCACTTTCCGTGGGGCCGCTTCTGGAAGAAAGAGTTCATAAAGAGTCCCTCTTTCTCCATGAAGTCGGCCAGCTGCTGACCCCTTGGGTTCCGTTGCCCTATCCCAAATTTCCCCACCTTCAGCTCACCGTTCTTTCTTGTCCCCAGTTTTGCGTTAAAGTCTCCTATTAACACCGTATAGTGAGTTTTCGAGGAATGCATGGCTCTAGAAATATCCTCATACATTTCCTCCAACTCCTCATCGAGATGTTCCGACGTTGGCGCGTAAACCTGTATGACCTTCAGCGAATACCGTTTGGTGATTCTGAGTATTAGGTACGCGACCCTCGGCGATACACTCCCAATCTTTAAAACGTTGTTAACGAGAGACTTGTGGACGATAAATCCAACACCTCCTTGGGACGGATGGTCGCCCTCCCGGTGATAGAACAAGTTGCCGGATTCGAGAATCACCGTGTCCTCCCCCTTTCTTCGGACCTCGGATAATCCTATAATATTCTAGCGCAACTTGTCTATCTCTTCTTCCAGCTAAAAGATCTTCTCGTCAGTCCTCAGGGTGCGTGCGTCAAATGTTGTCAGGTCGAGTCGTCGTAGGTGGCAACCGAACCTCTACCGGAGATTCTTAGCACCCCCTGCCCCGCCGTTACCATGGTCACCACCGTAGCCAGGAATAGCGGGACCACCGGGGACTAGGGGTCGTCTATTTGTGTAAATCTTCATGGGGATTATATTGCCATAGTGTCCACGCTTGGCGAGCGGTTTGGCAACCGCAGTTTTTTTGTTGTACAGTTTCTGTTATCAGGAAGATGCTGCTGCCCATCTCCTGCCTGTTTCCCTCTGTCGCCTTTTACGACACTCACGGGAAGATATGGGGTAGAGGATATTCTTAACCGCCACTACACGGCACATGTTTAAAAATAATTGGCGTTAATGAAATAAAATCCCATATCAACAGAATGCCAAAATAAAAAGCATCTAAGGACGCAATGAGTATTTAAACAATAATAAAAACATAATAATATAATTAAAAAATATATAATAAAAAATCTTTATTATAATGAATTTCCGCAAAGTAACGCCTGATTCTATCAACAGCACATATAATACTTCTCAATAGTTATTATAACAAAACTTCAAATTTAATTGTTTTTACACGATCGCAAACAAGTGCCGCAAAGTATAGCAAATGCTTTTTTGTATCTTTTTTATTAATTATAATAAGTACAATAATTTGCGAATACAATGAACCTCGCATCTTTTCGGATGATAACCAAAATTTAAATAAGCTAAAAGATGATATATCTTACTATTTCGTAAGTATTATCTGTATTTTTTGCTCGCTCTGTTATGATCTCGTTCGCACACGCGGTTATGCCTCTAGCCAGTGTAGGTGTACGAAAAGACCTATTGAGCCTATTAACAATTACCGTTCGGAAACGTTTCTTCTAGTACAGTGCTAAGACCTAAGATACTGTTGCGCGGCTAAGTTGACATCTCATCTCATGGCACTAGCGCCATCTAGTGTCGGATAACAGAGCGAGGAGAGAGCTTTCCAGAAAATGACATGACTAATTTTTTAACCGACAGCGACATCTAGTATCAAATTGAAGAACTAAACTTTCTAAAAGCTCTACACTCGAACTTTCTGCGCTTGGTCGGTTGGCGCGCGTATGTTTACTCGAATATTCTGGAATATTCTGGATGTTTTCGTGGAAGAGCTCTATATAAAGGCGCTGCAATACGCGATCGGGGAAGTGTTGAAGTTGGCGAGACAAGCGAAGCTTCGGAGCGGAATAAAGTGAATCAGTGTGATTAATTATTAGTGTTTTTGACTTTAATTAGTGTAAAGTGAATTAAAGTGTTAATTTAGGTAATTCTATCGGCAATTTTTATTGTCACGAACCTCAAGCTCGTAACAATTGGTGTCAGAAGTGGGATTAAATCATACCGATTTTACCTAAGGAGGAATCAGAGGGTGTCCGTACCCGAAGTCAACGCCAGCAGGAAACGGACCAGAGGAGGTTTGGTGGTGCAACGCCGCAGACGTCGGAGGGCCAGCCGCCGGCAACGGAGGCCGGTCCGTCAGTAGCTCCTGCATCTGCAGCACCTGATTTAGGCGCTCTGATGGTGATGCTGCAGGAACAGGCTCGTCGGTTTGAAGAGCAGCTGAAGCGCGGACAGGAGGAACAGGCCAGTCAGTTGAAAGAGCAGCAGGAGGAACAGGCCCGCCGACAGGAGGAACAGGCCCTCGAAGGAGTAAGCCCGTCGCTTAGAAGAGCAGCTCAAACGCGATAGGGAAGAGCAGATGCTTCTCATGAAGGACCTTCACGCTACCTTCGGGAAAGAGATAAGGGAGGTGAAGGATAAGGTTGCTCAACATGATAACCGCCTGTCGGAAGCTGAGACCCAAATCAACCAAGTTAAGAAAACGCTGGATGAACTCAAACTTGGAGATGAAATTGTAGCCCCCGCAGTAGCTACTACACCTTCGCTACGTGGCTTCAAGGTACCACCGTTCGACGGGACTTCTTCCTGGTCGGCCTACAAAATACAGTTCGAGGCCGTCATGGAGGCAAACGGCTGAAATAAAAGCCAGGCCATGACTGCACTCACCTTAGGCCTGCGCGACCAAGCCTTAACTGTGTTGGAAGCTCTCGGTAAGAAAGTGACCTACGAGCAGCTCCTTGAGGCATTGGAGGCGAGATATGGTGACGCTCACCTG